TCGAGTGCCTTATTTAATAACAATTTCTTTGTTATTAAATTTTTTGCTGTGTACACGATGTTTTCTTTCATATAAATATAATGGGCGAAAGGAAATTCGTTTTACGTGACAATTACAGAAGCACAAATATAAGTGGAAATAATTCTTATGCCCAAAATAAAGTTAAAATCAAAATGGTAAATCCAATTGCTCTCTAAAAATTCACAGGAAATGAAATAAAAAACATTATTACATTAAATGATTTCAAATGAATGCAAGGTGATTCATCGTACCCTGACATACAAAGACAGTAGCAGGACTGTGACGTGACGATGAGACGAACCTCTAAGGAGCCTTCATTGAAATGATGCCCAAAGAGCGGGCGCGTCATCAGTGATAAGCAATAGTCGACTTCAAGTCTTCGAGCCATCCGATGCAGTGCGACTGTTTGCACGATAAAAACTTCGAACGTTATTTCGAAACATTCTCTGGCATTTCAATTGTCACAGACTAAACAAAACTGCACCTCGTTAAATGGAATGTTTTGTGGCGGTTGAGTACTAATGACTTCTATAGCAACAATCGAAGATATCAATGGTATATTCAATGAATACGGATATGAATTTAATCCAAAATAAAGAATTCAACTGCAAATAAATCGATAACGGCAAAATAGTTTGTGTATATTGACACTCAGTTGAGAGATTAATGCGAGCCATTCAGGGCACCAGATCGACATCCTTAATTACGGGATCAGGAGTTAGAGGTTTTGCATTATAGGGTCGGTGCTGAGGAGGCCGAGTCTGTAGTTAGTACAAGCTCGAGGGTAGCGACTGGCCGAGCTTTGGGCAGATCAAGGATTTTACACGATGGTCGCGAAAACTTCGCTCTCAGACTTCGCTGCATTTTGACTACAAGCCATAAGCATGCAAATAAATCCAAAACGGTACAATAGTTTGTGTCATCTCGACCAAGCGCCGGCAACATAGCTGTACGGCCGAGCCTTGCCAAACCGTGTTTTCTTAATCGTGTTCACATTTTTATACTCATACCTAGCCTTATGTAGTGGATTTCTTTCGTGGTACTTTTGCCTTCATTTAAAATTCGACTCACCCAATACGACAGTTGACTATGAGAAGCATCACTGTTATTATAATGTAGAGTTCGCGACCGGGTTACATTCATTCTGGGAATTAAATTCTACAGATTCACCATCTGAAAACATCAGAGGCCAGCAGAATCGGAGAATTATTATTCAAGACAAAAGCATCACACCTTTTTTATACTCTGTAATAAAGTTGCGTTAAATTCAGAAATATTATAGGGAGCTTATATTTTCTAGGCAGCGATTTTTACAACCAATCACGACTGTAAGAATATGACGACTGTTCTAGGCTGTAAAAATATAATCAGAAAGCTGCCAATAAATCTTACAGGATATACCTTTCATAATTAATCATCCGCTATTCCATCTTTTCTTTTCTCTTCATTACCATGTTAAAAATCTTCAGTGTATTCGGGGATGACATCTAGTAGGCCATAACTCTTCAAAGATAACTCGATTAATTGTACATGAAATTGCTAAATGAGTTAGCACTTTAATACATAGACAAACTCGCAACCTTATGTTCTGCCCGCGTAGTTATGATCCTGAACTGAAATGCACAATAATATTTATGATGGTGGTGGTGAGAATAGTTTAGTTTGGGATACAATTGCCGCTCGAAGCTCTCCACTCGTTTGTAGTGTTCAGTAATTATGGATTTGTTGCAAATTTACCTTACACGCTTGATAGAATCTTGCAAAAAGTTATATTTATGGGCCTTACCGCTGGAAGTTGCCAGGTTAAAAAGTGGTGTGCAAGAACTACTGTCCAGCGGTGACCAGCGTAGGCGATAAATCCGTAGATTAAAATTACTGCTATTAAATTAAATAGTATATATAAATATAATAAATTGGAATCGAGAGTAGAATAACAGCATCGTCGCGGCAGCGGTTTTTATAGAGGACGAAATTGAGACTGTGAGAACCTAACTAACCAAACATAGATAAATATATTTAAATATTATTTATAACGATCCAGCTGTGCACAAATGAACAAGTTTTTCAGATTTGCCCAACAATCTTTTCGTGCAAATTGCCGTACACGGAATTTATGCTGCGAAGATGAAGAGGAACTTCACACCGCTGGGAGGGGGGGTTGCTGCTCGGGGGAGGGGGTGGCTGTGCTGCTCGTGTCTCTTATACACATCT